AGAGGGGCTAAATGCTAGTGCTGACAGCGAATGGACTGATCCTGCTAACACTGCGTTTTTGGGGACACTATACTAAGGAGGCACTAGTATAGTTCTGACCATCATTAATATATTGATCTGTACAAACACTATACTAGTAATGGCGGTGATCAGCAACCTATAGCGTGAGTGCGATAGTGTGTGATCAAACTAGTGCTAGCTGACCCTGACGCTATCTTATGTCACTAGTGGCAGGAATACAGTGATCAATGAAAAATTCCATATACTAACACGGTACTAATGGCACTGACTGGGTGATCAAAGGATTAATAGGGTCAATGAAAGAATTTAATGTGATTATATAACATGTGTGTTAAATGCAGTGCTTTTTCTCAGTGCCGTGTTCTCTCTTATCTCCCCGGACCGCATAGGGGGCAGCGGAGGAGGCGCACACATGAGCACGCACATCCAGAAATAGAAAGCGACATAAGATTACATTGCTATGCCCGTAGCAGCCACTCGCCTGCACATTGTTGGCGGGCAGATGGCAAGTAATTAAAAAAAAAAAACTAATTTAAAAAAAAATTCTCTCAATTTTTTTTAAATTTTTTATTTTCTTAAATATTCTTTTTTTTTACTTTTTAACAAAAAAATACTTTCATCAGAGTAGTGCAATGTTACCATAATAACATTGTACTACTCTGGGAGGATAATCTGGATTTTTATTTTTTTTTGCATTACAGGAGCAATGAAGATTGCCTTGAACTGTCATGAATGTGTTAAGTTCATGACAGTTCAATATAATAGTGATCTGTGATTGGCTCCAGCTGGTCACATGGTACAGGGTGCAGCGATTGGCCCCATGTGCCATGTGAGAGCTGTGTATCAATCACAGCTCTCCAGGAATAGAAGCAAAGCTTTTATGAACAAAAGCTTTGTTTTTTGTTGTTGTGATCATGTGATCGAACAGTAATCCCATGATCGCCGGGTCCTGATTACCGGGGGGGGGGGGGGGTGTTGGAGGGTTTTGCGGCCACTTGGGCACGCATCACCCCCCTGTGTTGGTAACAGACTAGTGACGTACAGGTACGCTGCTGGTCCTGAAGCTGCCACCCGTGCGCAATACATTGCGGGCAGGCGGCCCAAAAGTTTTTAAAAAATGTATAAACGAAGACCCATGCCACAACAATCCTTTTCTGATACAATTCTGTCACAAATGGCAGCTCTCTAGCTGGCAGTTGAATATCAACAAACCAGCAGGGGATTTGGTCATTGACCAAATATGGCCACTGAGGCAAAAAGTGATGGGAAATCCAATATATTAATTTGTCACCAGAACACGAATATAAAGGAAACCCTTCAATGGGGACATTTGTTTTTGTGACAACCATCTAAGAGGGAATATGCTTGACTTTGAAGAGATATCTGGGAATTTTGTGTTGCATCTACAAGGCAGATATTGAAGGGAAATCTCTTAAAGATAAATTCCAGGTATGGCAATTTTTACTTTTATTTTTTTTTTAATTTAAAAAATTTATTGATTTTTCGAATAAATAAATTGTACAAACATACTCTTTTAAAACATTAACACATTTTCACTTCCGGTTCCGGCGCCGGATGCTGTAGTTCGCGGGACCCGCGGCTCCCGGGATTCCGGCTCTATAAAGCCTGCACACTGCCTCGGGGACCCCCGCTATACAGCCCTGGGGTGCCCCTTACCTTCCTGCAGCAGCCCCAGCATGGAGCGGTATCTTCTGCCGGCGCAGTCCGGCCATGAGTCGGCGGCCAGAGCGGAGGGATGCGGCTCTCCCCCCCTTCTGCAGCCAAGATGGCCAACGATGCCTGTCACAGCATGGACACAGGCACAGAGCGGGATTGCAACGAGGGAGCAGGTATGACAGAGCCTCTCCCCACCATCCACACTGCCAACCCACTCACTTCTGCAATGCAATTGATAACACTCCTGAGCAGTATGTTAAAATAGCTCAGGCAGTGTCCTCCATCCTGCTCCCAAACATAACACAGGCTGTAGATAGAGCTGTCACAATGGGCATTGAACAGCTAAGAAAAGATTTAGGCGATCATTCTAAACGTTTGTCTGAGGCTGAGCAGCGCATATCGGATTTAGAAGATGAATTTCACTCAATGCAAGTGATTACTTCACAATCCAATTGTGTACAGCAAAGTATAATGGATAAAATCGGCGATCTGGAAAATCGATCACGTAGGAATAATTTACGCATTGTCGGTCTTCCAGAATCCTTTAATACAGGTTCTCTCCCCGATCTCTGCTCAGCGCGGATCCCTGCAGCTTTGGGCCTATCCTCTTTCTTGCTAGGTAGAGAGAGCTCACCGCCTGGGCCCCCCATCTAATGAGCGTCGTGCGCCACGCTCTGTGATTGTCCGCTATCTCAATTATGCTGACCGCGTAGCGATCCTCACCTCTTTCCGTAACTCCCGTTCTCTGCAAATTGAGGGTCACAAATTACTACTATTTGCGGACTACTCACAGGAAGTATCACGTAAACGGAAAGCATTCCAGCAGGTCTGCGCTACTCTTTACCAGAAAGGAATAAAGTTCACACTCGCATATCCGGCCACGTTACGTTTCACTGCAACATCGGGGGATTCTAAATCTTTCGTTCATCCTGAAGAAGCCCTCCAATATTTGCAAGACCACCTAACTGACGGGGATCCCACGGGTAGGAACAGTGGTCCCAGAGACCAACGCAGTCCTCACAAAGACCCCCCCAAACGTCAACGCACTAATCTAGCGTCCTCCAAATCTCGCCCGCCCTGAAGGTCTGAGAAGCCATCGGTCTCTTCACAACTTCTTCCAGCCTTACTCCTGATCCGATTGGTTCAATTGGATGTGTTTTCAATTTTTTGTTTTTTCTTTTTGTCTTTGAATGGTTCCGCTTGCTATTCACTGATATACTAACACACTCCAATGTATGATGAGTCTATTGGCTGTTCAGCACGAGTTTATTTTTTGCAATATCTGCTGTTGAGGTGTTTCCTCGTAAATCACCTGTTTCATTGTTACTGTTTAATTTACCTACATGTCTGATTTTACTACTTCTTTACTCCTACATGTGCCTGATTCCATATTTCAGTGTTGCTGTGGATGGCGGGATGCTGGAGCCGTTGTTGGGAATAAGTTTGAGGGACGCCCTTCCTCGACTCAACAAATCGGCACTGGTCCCTGGGGCAGGTCCCTTCCCTGCCATTCCCGGTTACGCTGGTATTGGTGGAAACAACATGCGGAATGATGTGAAGTCCTGTATACTGCTCTGGTATATTGTATGTTTTGATTTTTTGTTGGGCTCAAACAGGGCCCTTACCTCTGTCTCTGTCTTCTTCTCTCTTCTTCTTCCTCATCTCTACTTCTTGGGAGAACTCTTTTGTCCTTTGAGACCAGATTCCAACCACCTCCATTCGCCCAACATAGTAGCGCCATCCGTCCCTCCATCTCTGATTGGTAAGATTCTTATCCTTTTATTATATATATTACAAAAGTTGAAATGACACGTATATTTTCATGGAATGTTAAGGGCCTCAGATCTCCACACAAACGCATGGCGATACTAAGACAGAGAGCAAAAAGTGAGCGCTTTTAGATGGACAAGCAGCTGAAACACATAGGACAACCAAAAAATCCTCACATGAAAATACAATATAAAGTGCAGCGCTAAAATTATAAATGTGACATGAAAATATATAAAAATATATAAAAAGTCCCAATAGAGAAAGTCCCAATAAAGATGACCTCGGGTAACAGTGCACACTGACCAGAAGTGCACACAAAATAGTGCAATGTGGCAAAGATGGAGTTCAGGACGTAGTCATCAACATGGAGAGGGTAGATGTGTTCCCTTGATCAAAGAAGATCCACACGGTGAAGACAAAAAAACAGGGCAGAATAGATCCACTAGACAGCAAGAAAGGAATCACAGCTCCACCAAAGAAAGCCACCACTCCTCCACTGCACATCAACGATATCTAGGAAGAGATGCTCCCAGGAATATGAAATGTTGGAGTATGGTATTCTTTCATGAATGGCCACCTCATGTTGTTACATTGAGCTGAGGAGAGAGTCTTCTCTGGGAAAAGGCAGTCCAATGACAGGTCTTTTCTTAAAATTGTGACTTGTAATCAGTTTTTAAAGGTTGCACCGAAAACAAAAAAAAACAAAAATAATTCTTTGCCATCCAGGCACTAATTAAATAGTACAGGTTCCCATTTCACAGGTGAAGGGCTTCTCCCGGCCACCACCAAAAAAAACAAATGTTTTGCAAGCCTTTTCCTTTCTTTTACAGAGCAATCTTCACATATAGCTCTCTCAGGTATTAGAGTCCCAGGCCACAGCTACATAGATACTAAGACACTTGCGGCGTTTACGCGCGGATATAGCTTTGCTCCAAGAAACCCATCTTACCCAATCGGATTTTGCCCGTATGCGTAAACTCTGGGTAGGTCAGATCTTTGGCTCCGCCTCCTTAAACAATAAAGCAGGGGTACTTATTGTTATACACAAACGGCTTAATCCTGAAATAATCTCCATGGAAGCTGACACTGAGGGTCGTTTTATAGCAGTACATATTAAACTAGGATCCCAGGAGCTGGTTCTCTCCAGCTTTTACGCACCCAACTCCCCGACGAGACAGGTCTTCCAATCCCTCTCGACACGGTTGGCGGCCTATATTCACAAGCCACTCGTCATAGGAGGGGACTTTAACTCCGTTATGCAAGAGCAGGAGGATAAATCACAGAGTGTTGAACGTGGACTTCGCTCCTCTCAGATTTCCCGTCCAACACCTACTTTACTATGTAGCTTCGTTGAAGCAATGCAACTTACAGATATATGGCGCTTAACACATCCGGACGGCAAAGACTACACTTTCTATTCCCCTGTTCATCATTCTTTATCTAGAATCGATTATATTTTCTGTAACTCCGTATTACTGCATCATGTGGTATCATCTACTATACATGACATAGCCATATCGGATCACTCACCGATTTCTGTTACTATAAATTTTCTAGACCCTACGCCACATCCTAGGATATGGCGCTTTCCTTCGTATCTGGCGAATAATCAGGAACTCTCCCGGCAATTAAAAGACACATGGGCAGGGGGGCGTGGTCTGCCGCGGCTGGAAGATGGCCGCATAGAGAGGGAGCTCCCGCCGGCCGGATCCCTCTGCATCGCCATACGACGGAGCGGGGTGAGAGGGTGCTGCCACATCATGGGGAAGACTGACCGGACCTCATCCGGTGCCCGATCGCGCTCCCCACGGAGCCAGGGTGTGCAGGGGAGACACATACAGGAGCTCTTCCGCTCCCAGCAGCAAAGGGAAGGGCCGCAGCCATCTCCTTCTCCTGCTATCATCCCCCCCCCCCCCCTCTCTACGGCTGCTGAAACAATTAACCCTTCCTGCTCTGACATGCAGGCAGCTCCAGACACAGTGCCTCAGCATGATGTCCCCTCTGCCTCGCAATCTCTGTCCCTAAGGGATCTTCAGGCTGTGGCCACTGACATTAAGGCCACCCTGACAGCCACACTCACTGCAGCATTGGGGGATCTGCGCAATGATTTAAGGGCCATGGGTTCGCGATTGGACCACGTGGAATCCGCATCCAGGCAAACTGGATCCGCTATTATTGCTTTACAACATCAGTCAACGATACATGCTTCCACTATCAGAGAACTACACAGGCATATTGAGGATTTAGATAACCGTGGCCGCAGGCGTAATATCAGAATCCGCGGTCTCCCAGAATCAGTAGAAAATACAGATATTCCCAAGGCAGCGATGGCCATATTCAATAACCTCCTTGGTCGCCCCGCTAGCAACCCCGATTGACATCGAACGTGTGCACAGAGCGATCCGCCCCAGGAGGGGAGATGCAGACCCACCCAGGGATATCGTTTGCTGCCTAGTAAGTTTTCCGCTCAAAGAAGATGTCCTCCGATGTGCTAGAGACAGAGGGCGCCTTCTATATGAGGGGACAGAAATACAACTGTTTCAGGACTTATCCAGCACCACCCTGCGCCAACGGCGAGCTTTACGCCCTCTTCTGGATACGCTCCGATCGCGTAACATTCCGTACAGATGGAGGTTCCCCTTCTGTCTCTCTGTACAAATTAGTGGTCATTCTTACAACCTGCGAACCCCTGAAGAACTGCCCTCTTTCTGTGCCTCCATAGACATCCCACTGATTGACCTGCCTGATTGGTTCAGCTCCATGAGACTACCGCTATCCCCAGGATTTGGCAGCCGAGGATAGTGCTATGGATTGGCGCGGTCAGTCTTATCGTAGAGGGCGGATGGCCCCATCGACCCCTCCGAGACCCCTCATAGGGGACACCACGACTACCTTCAGCCCGACGGCCTCTCCAGCGCACAGGAGGCCACGACGCGAAACCTAATGGTCCCTGTTCTTCCCTCAACACTGCTACTTCGATGCATACCCTGCTGAGTGTTTACGTTCTACTGCTACTGCACACCTTTTTCGTCCACTCGGCCCCAAATGTTCCAGTTGCGCACTTGCGCTCTCTGATCAATGCTCGTCGGACTCCTACTTTACTTGCCTTTACTACTTATCCGTCAAGATTGCAGCCTGTGATCCATGGGACTCTGTTACTGCCCTATACGCAACTATTGGGCCTCCACAGTTCCTTCCTGCCTTACAAGAGGTCGGGGGCGTTGGCCTCATTCTAGCTGACTCGTCCTCCTACAAGGGGGACAGTTTCTGGGCTCTGCCTTGCTAATCGTCACCTAGTTCTCCGCATCCCACAGCGAGTCCTACGCCTCCAGTTGGTTATCGATTTGTGCCTTCTCCCAGCCTTCTATCTCCTATTACCATCCGATGCATCCTGGGCGATGAAAGTCCTCCAGCCTCATCTTCCTGGCAAGCTCTGAAGTTCGCCCTCACGTCTTTGCGGACGTCTTGCTGCTCGCTTGGGGTTGTTCGGTGATGAATTGTTCGCCCCCCCCCCCCCCCTCCACGGACATTGGAACGCTTGGCCTTCCCGATCTTTCGGAAGTGATCCCTGCTCAACTTGTAACGTATATTTTATGTGTGAATATGTTAGTGTCTCTAAATTTCCACCGGGGGGTGGTTTGAGGGGAGGTGGTTATTGTATGCGGGGATGGATAACTGCTTTTTTAGGGGAGTGTAACTGTTCGTATAGTCAGCGGAATCTGATTGTGTGGATAAGCATCACCTCTCCCCGCTACTTGTTAGACATTCCAGAATGGAACCATGTCATTCTCTCCAGCCCGGCTTTCACTTGGCCGAAATGGCATACCTGAGGGCCTGCGTGCCTTTGATCACCCCCATGCTCACTTCCCTCCGCCTCCTCCTCCCCCCTCCTACGCCATTCCGAGAGAGGTGATGCTCGTCCCCTTTGCTTCCCTGGGGGCGCAGCTACTATATTTGTGAGTGGGGGAAGGGGGAGGGGGGTTTCCTGTGTCTTATTTAGTCCCTTGATACTTATATATTTGTGGGATTGATGACGGGCCTTGATCTTAGGGGGCTTCATTGGTAACTGATGAATAGGGGCTTATTGACATTTTATCTGTTTTTTGTCATGCTCATTCATGTTTTGATATTGTTGACTTGTTATGTTTTTGCCTTGTGATGCGGTTTGCCTGTAATATGTGCAGGGTTCTTTCGCTATTCTCCGTTTAGTGAGGATGCCCCTTTACTGTCTCGCGCTCACCTTGGCTTAGGCTGTCCTTCCCAATGCGTTCACTCTGTATGTGCCTTTACACTTCTTTAATACTAAGTGTAGCTAGACCCCTCGCTCGGCAACATTTCACTTGTGTTACACCTACTAAAATCGCCCTGGTCTTCTTCCTCTGCATGTTACATAACACTTCATCCCCCACGGAAGACCGGTACCCAAACCTTCTATGTGCTCCACCCCTGCGGACTTCTGACACCACTTACCTCTCTCGAACCCCGCCCCCTTGTTCTTGCCTTTTTTTTTTTATAATTTTTCATAGGGGGCTACCGGCCGGCGGGCTGCGCACTTCCTGGTTTTACGCCGACCTCGTTCCCCACACAGTGAGCTCGGCGAGCTTCCACTGACCCTTTTTTTTCGGCTACTATCTTTATCTTTTTTCTGAGCCTCTCTTCTATCTTTGTGCTCCTCTTCCTTTTCCCCGACCTTTTCCCCTCTTCCTGTTTTTCTTTCTCTCACGTGGAACAGCGGGTCTGTTCCTCAAGCCGTATACTATCTATAATCCTCTTTTTCCCCCCCCCTTTTTTTTTTTTTCTTTCCCCTCCCCCCTTCTTTTTCCCATCCCCCGGATATTCGACATACCGAAGCTTCGGACTCAGGCTCCGCCTTCCAGTAGCCATGCTTTCTTCCGCCTCACAGACGGGACAACTGTCTCTGAAACTCCTTTCACTTAATGTCAAAGGTCTGAACATACCCGAAAAGCGCTCCATGCTCCTCTCTTACTTACACAAACAGAAAGCGGATGTGGTCTTTTTACAAGAAACGCATATTTTCGCCAAGACTCCATTCCAAAGCTTTACAATTTCTGCTTCCCCACGGTCCTCCACGCCACCAACCCCCTGGCTAAGTCTAAGGGGGTTGCGATACTGTTCGCCAGACACTTACAGTTCCATATAACAGATTCCTTGGTGGATCCTGAGGGTAGATACCTGTTTATAAAGGGAGTATTCGCTAACAGACCTATCACATTCGCCAATGTCTATGCCCCCAATGTTCAACAGGTCTCCTTCATGCGCTCACTCGTCTCTGCCCTAGCCGCTTTCCAGGAAGGGTTACTGGTACTTGGAGGCGATCTGAATGTCCCTTTGAGCCCTCTGCTAGACTCCTCCTCGGGAAGTTCTTTTTTACCCTTCAAGGCTCTCAGGCAAATACATATACAATTACAGCTTCTACAATTACATGACACCTGGCGTACACTTTACCCCACTGTTAAAGATTATACTTTTTTTTCCCCACCACACAATAAGTATTCTAGGATAGACTATTTTTTTTTGTCGCAACCAGATCTCCCTCTCCTCCATGCTGCTACCATAGAACCGATGGTCCTTTCCGATCATCATCCCATCACCATGACGCTACGGTTCCCCATCTCGCACCCGCGCTCCAAATACTGGCGTCTGGATGCTTCCCTTCTTGTGGATGCCGCTATTGTTCAAGAGCTCCGCTCTAATATGGCTGAATATTTTTCCTTGAATAGCTCGTCAGACACCTCACCCATCACACAATGGGAGGCCCACAAGTGTGTCATTCGGGGCAGCCTCATAGCCATTGCGACGAGACGTAAGAAAGCCAAACAGGAGCGTCTGAAGCTCCTCTCAGATAGGATCGCTCTTTGGAAAGAGTACACAAACAGACTCTGGCTGCGTCGACCCTTTTGGAACTCACGCATACACGCACACAACTTCTCACGGAACTGGGTAAGGTGGTTAGAAAAAGGTACATTCTTTCACATAAGCTGTATTACGAGTTCGCAAATAAGAGCGGGAAATTTCTAGCCAGAGCTCTTCGTGAGAAACGGGCTAGTATGACGGTACATAAAATCAGAGGCTCTGATGGCATTGAGGCTACATCCAACCCCGATATTGCCGCCCATTTTGAACGCTACTATAAATCTCTATACAACCTCCCTCCGGAACGTCCCCCTATACATTCGGACAAATCTAGAACTGCCTTGATCTCTGAATTTCTCCATCTCTACGGTTCACCCGCCCTCTCCGAGGATCTGGTGCACGCTTTGGAAAATGATCTCACCTTAATTGAACTGCAATCCGCAGTAAAACAGATGAAACCGGGGAAGAGCCCGGGCCCTGATGGTTTTTCAGTAGCCTATTACAAATCTTTTTTAGATATACTGGGTATTCCATTTCTTGCTGCTTTTAACACTCTCGCTCAACCTTCAGGGCCGCCTAACCACCTGTTGGAGGCTCACATTACAGTTATCCCCAAAGACGGGAAGGACAACACCCAGGTCTCCAATTATAGACCCATTTCCTTGCTGAACGTGGACGTCAAACTATTCGCGAAGATCATTGCTAATCGTCTTCTTCCCTTGCTTCCCTCCCTGGTCGATTTGGACCAAGCAGGATTTATCCCTGGTAGAGAAGCAAGGGACAACACTATCAAGGCCCTTAATCTCCACCACTGGCTTCGCAGGTCTAACACTCCGGGTTTTTTCCTCTCCTTGGATGCAGAAAAGGCCTTTGACAGGATTGCCTGGGATTACTTGAATGCATCTTTAGTGGCACTGGGTTTGGGTGAGAAGATGCTTAACTTTATAATGGCCCTCTACTCTGCCCCTACTGCCCGGGTCCGGGTGAACGGCCATCTGTCAAACTCCTTTCATCTACGGAACGGCACACGTCAGGGATGCCCCCTCTCTCCCCGCTTTTGTTTGTCCTATCCCTTGAGCCCCTGTTGCGGAAAATTTGTTTAAACCCTGATGTTAAAGGAATCACGGTGGCAGACAAGGAATATAAGCTTGCAGCTTATGCGGATGATATTCTCTTGTTCCTGGCGGACCCTCACATCACCCTTCCGAACCTACTGAAAGACTTTGCCCTTTTCAGATATTTGTCGAATTTTAAAATTAATTTTTCCAAATCAGCCGCCCTTAACATTACCTTGTCTGCTGAGCTAGTCTCTGCTTGTGAGGCCCAATTCCCATTTCACTGGGAAAGGGATTCCCTAACTTATCTCGGTATCCAGCTCACCAGTAACCTTGATGACCTTTATGTGAAAAACTTTCTTCCCGCTCTTCGCTCTATGCAAGAAGACCTCAATAAATGGCACCGTCCTTGTTTCTCGTGGTTTGGAAGGGCAGCGATCATTAAAATGAATGTACTTCCCCGTCTCCTGTATCTCTTCCAAACATTACCAATTCACTTACCTCTTGCTTTCTTTGCTTCTTGCAAAAGACTGTGTTCACTGTTCCTTTGGAGCCACAAACGTCCGCGTATTGCCTACTCCCAATTAACCCTCTCCTAAACTTAAAGGGGGTATAGGATTTCCTGATCTTTACCGCTACTATTGGGCTTGTCATCTTTCCCGGATAGTTGATTGGCACGTTCACACTGCCTCTAAAGACTGGATATCTATAGAGAATGCTTGCTCGCCCTTCCCCCTGGCATCGATCCCTTGGCTTTCACACCGAAACACACGCCACAGGCTCTTCTCACCCATCCTTTGGTGGGACCTACGTTAAAAATTTTCCGTTCGGCTTGTAGATCTGCAGCCATTTCTGACACACCCCCAACCCCCTGACCCCCATACGCCTCAACCCTGACTTCCCCCCTGGAATGCATAAAGACTTTTTAATGAAACACTGGCCACACAAACAGATCTTAGTGAAACATTTTCTCCACAAGGGCAAGGTGAAAACACTCCGAGAATTGCAGGAAAGCCTGGGTATTCGCGAATTCCCTTTCTGGGTATATTTCCAGATCAGACATTATCTGCTCTCTCATAAACCCCCTCATAACTGGCACCGCTCTCTTACCCCATTTGAATCTGCATGCGCGAAGGCTGAACCGCGAAAACATCTGATCTCGGAGATCTACCCACTTCTAGTGGAGAGCGGTCTTATGACTCCCTCCCCGCATGTCGGGCTTGGAAGAGAGATCTTAATGCTGAGCTGTCGGACTCAGACTGGGACCTGGTCTTCCAATACTCTCATAAATGTTCCCTCAATGTCTCGACACAAGAAAACAGCTACAAATTAGCCTCTAGATGGTACCGAACTCCCTCAGAATTCATCATTTTAACCCCGCCTTTCCCAACAGCTGCTGGAGATGCGGGACCCCAGATGGGTCCTTTCTTCACATATGGTGGGTCTTGCCCGATTCTTCAACCATTTTGGCAGGAGGTCCATAGGTTAGTAGTGTCTATAACTACCTTACCCTTAGCTCTCTCTCCCTGCTCAATTCCTCCTCCACCACTCTTCCCTTCCCAGGGCTCAGTACTTTAAATCATTAGCCATGCACATGATCAACGCAGCCAGACTCTGTATTCCGGTTCTGTGGGGCTCCACACTCCCTCCCTCTATACGTGATTGGATCACCCGAGTGGGTAAAACGGCGGACATGGAAGAACTGGTTGCGACCGCTCTCGACACTCCTACGAAATTCTCTCATGTATGGGCCTGCTGGACCCATTTTCTGACTACCCTTATCGATCCCTCATGGACCAATCTGTCTGAACCTGATTTGGACTTTCTGATAGTGTTATTTAGTGGTATTTGACCTGAGGGTGTCATCATACTCCCCCCTGTGTTACACACGCTTTTTCTTTGACGCCGATGATAGCTTAGGTTCCATCCACTCCCGCTACTGTTTGTATTGAGGATAAGATATTTTTGACGGTTGTCCCCTCTCATATTTTACCCTCCCCATTTGCTTCCCCCCCCCCCCCCCCCCTTTTTTTTTTTTTTTCTCTCTCTTCCTCTTTCTTTCCCCTTTTTTTTTTTTTCTCGCATTCTCTTTTCTTTTCTTTTCTTTTCATATGCTTACACACGTTTCGGACATTTTTTCCAATAGAACACTGAGTATGCTGTCAGCATCACCTCCCGCAATCCGTTAGCGGTCCCCACGACAATTACTCCTACATTAGCACAATTCAACCATCGTATTCTGTAGTATTGACTCTAACCTAGGCATCGTATTTGCTCTTCTCCACCCTACAGATTTTTACCGCAAGACATTATGGTAGGAGGCCAGACGTCTCTTTATTTTTAGCACTTGACAAGCATACCTAAATATTACAGGCACAACCCTGTCGTGGCCTAGTTCATCCACACTGTTTGGTCTTGCGTTGGACCTCATTTGCCCTTGTATGATATATGCTTTGCTGTATGTCCTATGTACACTTCATCTGTACATTTTCGTGTGATAATTTGTACCTTGTTTTCAATAAACTTTGTTTTTTGGAAAAAAAAAGACACATGGGCAGACTTCCAAATTACTAATACGGCCCACGTTTCCAACCCAAATTTGTTTTGGGATGCGGGGAAGGCGGTATTACGTGGTAAAATCATTGCCTTTACATCCGCTTATAAAAAAAGAATTCTGCATAACTTTACTGAGGCTAGTAACCTTCTTAGACAGACACAAAGTGATATGGCAGAATCCAATACGCAGAAAAACAGGAAAGCTTGGGTGGATGCTAAAAACCAATTTGACACATGGGCGGCAGCTCAGGAAACATTATACCATTCACATCTTGACTTACAATACCATAGGTTTGGTAATAAACCAGGCAAATTATTGGCGCGCCTATGTAGGAAGCCTAGAAATTCTGAAGGACCCTCTGCACACTGGTATATACCCTTTCAAGCAAACTATGCAACAAATAGGGATTACTTTGACGCAGTGGCCAGCTTAAACATGTATTGCAATATGTGTGAACCAAATATCCCTATTTGTTGCATAGTTTGCTTGAAAGGGTATATACCATTGTGCAGAGGGTCCTTCAGAATTTCTAGAGTTAATGTGGTTACACCCTTTAGCACCTGATGGATAAATGCATGCACTAGCTGTATGGATTTGAGCACAGGGATCTCTTGTTTTATGTAGGAAGCCTTTCACCCCCACACAATTTACCTCTCTTAAGGACTCTCAAGGGGCACTTAAACAATCTCCGGAAGAGATCATATCTATTTTGGAAAGCTTTTCTGCAAAGCTATATGGGCCGGATCCTATTGACCAGGAACAAGCACACTCCTTTCTGGACAGTGTAAATCTACCTCAAATTGATCCAATAGCGCTGCAATCTCTAAATGCCCCTATATCACAAGCGGATATCTGTCTAGCTATTAGATCTTTAGCCAATGGTAAAGCTCCAGGTCCGGATGGGTACACCTCCGAATTTTTTAAACTTATGGACAAAACCCTCTCTCCTACTCTACAGCTGGTTTATCAGTCCATCCTGGAGAGTGGGCTTTATCTCCCATCGGCTTCGCAAGCCCATATTAAATTAATAGCTAAAAAAGGCAAAGACCCTTCGGATCCTGGATCTTATCGTCCCATTTCTCTCCTTAACCTAGATGCAAAGATCCTTTCTATAATTATAGCTAACCGCCTGGCCATTATTTTACCCTCACTTATTTACCCCTCTCAAGCGGGTTTTATAAAGGGACGATCGGCCACGTCAAATATCCGCAAAGTGCTTACAGTTTTGCATCAGGCTAAAATCAACCCACTACAGGATCTAGCAATTGTCTCTCTTGACGCTGAAAAAGCCTTTGATAATGTCAGTTTTCAATGGCTCAAACTAGTCCTTGCTAAATTTGGCTTTTCCGGTCCATTTACACAATTGATTCAGGCTATGTATGCTGCCCCAATGGCCCAGATAGTAGCAGCGGGAAAAATATCCAACCCTATTCTACTCCATAAGGGAACAAGGCAAGGTTGTCCATTATCCCCCCTGCTTTTCAATCTTGCACTGGAACCTTTAGCCCGTTTCTTGTTATTTCAATCACGCCTCCATGGTATTCAAATTGGTCAACAAGATCTCCGCATAGCCTTATTTGCTGATGATATATTAATATTCACTTCCAACCCAACTCTAGATTTACCTTATATCCAGACAGCTATCGCAGCATTTCGGTGCTGCTCGGGTCTCCGTATAAATTTTGCGAAAAGTGAGGTTCTTCCCTATATCATGCTCGGCTTCCTGATTGGGCCTGCAACTCTCTCTTTAAAATTAATACTAATCATATTACTTATCTGGGTATTAAAATTGGGAAATTAGCCTCGTCCCTTTATTCTCTGAATTATTCGCCAGTGATTCAAAAAATTTTAGGGGAATTGGAAATGTGGAAAGACCTGCCATTATCACTTATGGGTAGAGCCCATCTCTTCAAGATGACGAGTCTTCCGAAGCTTTTATACCCTCTCCAAACTATCCCACTCCTGCTCAAACATACGGATATAGTCAAGCTAAACAAGGCGATCTCTAGTTTCCTATGGAGGGGGCGCCGCCCGCGCATAGCCTTACATAAGTTGTTTCTCCCTAGATGTGAGGGCGGACTGGGCCTCCCCAATATTAGGCTCTATAATCTATCCTGCATTTTACGGGTGTGTATAGATTGGCTCTCCCGAGCGTCCGTTTTTTCCAATTACCAACTTGAATCAGCCATGGTGAGCCCGTTCGATCTGTCAGCCCTTCTACACTCTAGTTCCAACTCACTCCCGGAACATCTTAAACATAATCCACTCATACGGGACACACTCTTCACGTGGAGGGAGGTCAGACGTAGACTAGGAGTTTCTCCCTGGATATCTCGTTTTCTTCCCATTCATCACAATCCTTCCTTCTCTGTCTCTCAACAACATGCAGCTTACGATTTGTGGTACAACCAGGGTCTTAGACTTGTTAGCCAATTGTATGACTTTGCATCAGGATCTCCCCTTCCGTTCCAACAAATCCTTAGCTCGTTTGAGTTGCCTTCTCATCATTTTTTGTACATTTTACAAATCAGGAATTTTGTGTGAAATCTATAGCTCAGAATAAACTCACTCGTTTCTGCACGACGGTGATAGAGGTCCTTGTTAGGAATCAGAAATATAACATATCTGATATATATAGTCAATTGTCTATGCAATACGCAACACCGCTGGAATCCTCCACATCTATCAAATCCTGGATTCGGGACTTTGACAACGCCTTCACTGCGGAACAACTACTCGCAGGCTTTAACATGACCTGTGCGTTTAACACAAACGAATTTTGGCGGGAGCAGCAGTTTAAAATTATGCATCACGCTTATATGCCCTGTCTATACTCACGATCAGACTCATCGATCTCTACGTGTCCGCTCTGTGGTCTATATAAACCGACACTTCACCACAGGTTCTGGAGTTGCCCATCGATCTCTACCTTTTGGAACCAACTTTTGAACTTCATGCTCTTCATCACTACTCTCCCGTTACCTAGAGACCCACTGCTGCTTCTCTTCGGCAACTTGGATGCTTCCGTGTCTGCTGCTACACACCAGCACATTGCTAGGCTCAGAGCCGCCAAACCGTGGCTGTCCACTTGTCTGATGGCTGCAAGAAGGTCTATTCTCAAAAAATGGGTTTCCAGCAGCCCGCCAACCATCTCGGATGTTAAATTGGAACTTAACTTCCTACTTCGCTTGGATCGGCTCAGCATCCACATCTCTCCATCCACATCAGGAGAGGAAAAGTTCAACCGCAAGTGGGGTCAATATGTCTCAAGAACATTTCCTACTTTGGAGATCCAGCTTCCCTCCCAAAGACTTCTAACGTAGTCCTAACTTAGCCTCTAGGCGATTCCTGATGCACGTGTTTTATTTTGTCTTAGGGGGCAAATGATTGCTAAATTACCTTCTCTAAGTCTTCAAAGACCTTTACTTACCTATTTTGGCATCTGCCCTTTTTTACGCCTTGGCTTCTGTTTTCTTATTCTCGCTCTCTTTCATAGCCTAGCTTCACTGGTGACTCTCTGAGTCCCCGTAATAGCACACTTTCACACACAACACACACACACACACACACACACACACACACACACTGCTGAGCTCTTCCTATTATATCATCATAGTAGCCTACTATTCTAACACCCTATTATCTTAGTGTCCTAATCTTTATATTCTGGCCTGTCCTCTTGGTCTTCTGGTCTCTGACCTCTGACCTCTGATCTCTGATCTTTGGCAACAAAATTCCTTGTCCTCCCTTTCTCCTTATCTTCTTCCTGTCTGTATACTTTTTTCTTGGCTGGTTCTCTCAGCTCCTTGTTCTTCTTTCTTCACTGTTCTATCTTTACCTTCTGCTCTCATTTTGCATCTACTTCTTACCTAGATACACGATGACCTTCCTCTTGGTCTTTTGACAAATGGTCAACATGGCATACATTTGCGCATTTATAGGATACTCATATAAATGAAGATATATACATGTACCTTTCTAAAATCCTTGATACTTTATTCTTAAGCCCTGGTAATCTGATACATCAGACGATGTCTCCTTCTTATAAGTAACTTTTTCCTTACTAAATTTCTCTGATGCCTCTCTGTCTCTCTTGGGGTTTTGACAATTTGTTTTCATGTACAATTATTATTCTTGAATCTTTCACCGGCTTTGACATGTTGCCACGCTATGAACACTGCATAATTTCACCGTTGGTTAATGTGTGTATACAATAAAACCAAATAAAGTTTCTTTAAAAAAAAAACAAAAAAACATTAACACATTTTCAATACATTTATCATATCAACTTTTCTTCCCCCCCAACCCCCCCTCACCTAGATACCACCCATCACCCCCCCCCCCCCCCACCAACCCCCCGCTCTCCCTGCTCTGCATTTTCCTATTCCTTTCTGGAGATCCTCATCCTTAAAAGAGAAGAAAGTGTAACCATATTATTTTTATGTTAGTCCCCCATAAACTCTATATTTAACTTTGATTTTTTAAATTCCTCCCATTTGTTCCATCTTATATGATAACTCTCCATCTTATCTTCATTCATATGGTAAAGTTCCTCTATTTTACATATTTGATCCATCCTGTCAATCCAATCTTTTATTTTCGGCACCTCCTGTCTCCTCCAGAACTTGGGTATCAAGCCCTTTGCTGCATACAAATAATACAATACACCAGATTTTTTACATTTTTTGACTGAAAGCTTGGTACTATGAAAAAGGCAAGTCTCTGGGTCTAATATAATGTCGGTCTCTGTAATTTTCTGAATCAAGTTCACTATTTTCTCCCAATACTCCTATATTTTAGGACACTCCCACCATATGTGATACATAGTGCCTCTACCTCCACATCCCCTCCAACATAAAGGTGAATTATCTCCACTCAATCTATGTGCCGCACTCGGTGTGATATACCATCTTGCCACACATTTATAATTCATTTCTAATCCTGCATATTTATATTTTCATGGATTAATCTATACATTTTTCTCTGTTTTTCCGCATCTATTATTACACCTATATTCCTTTCCCATTTTTCTATATATGGTGGCCTAATATCTCTGAGAATCTTATATATTTTAGAAGTTCCGTGTTTCCCATCTCCCCATGTGTCTAATAAACACTCAAAGGGGTTCCAATCCTCTCTTGTTCTTAGAGGTTTTGGAAGCTTCCCTATAAAGTGTTTCAATTGAAAATAATGCCACTCAT